TTTTCACTCTGTGAGCATTTACCAGGAAATCTCAGCACTCAAGAAAGTCAGGAAATGACACCACCAGCCTGAGCCAGGCAGAGTACAGGGCCGCCACACTGGTGTTCAACCCATCCTGCTACGGTTGAACTCGTCCCTCCAATATCAGTCTAGGAGAACCAACAGTAGTCCAACCTGAGATATGGAGTATGCTCATCTCCTAGGAGACTATCCTTGACCCACCTTCTTAGAGCTTTGTCAGGGGTCCTGACTGAGTGTGCAGAGTGAGGAGGGAGGCAACTGTAACCAGCCCCCAGGAATTGGCTTTGAATTTTGTGTTTGTGTGTCTGTGAGCATGTGGAGGCCAAGGAACAAGTTTGACTGTCATTCTTCTGGCAACTCACCTTGGTTTTTGAGACAGGGTCTCTTACTGGCCTAACGTTCATCGAGTAGGTCAGGCAGGCTGTCTAGTGAACCCCAGGGGTCTACTCATTTCCACTCCCCCTGCATTGAGATTACAGGACACTATGACATCTGGCTTTTCACATGGGTGTTAGGATCCAACTCAGGTTCTCATGCTTACAAGGCAAGCATTTTATCAACTAAGCTATCTCTCCAGACCCCATCCTTCTGGTTTTTAGATGCTATGTTTATAGCTTCACTAATCTTAAAATAAGAGGTTTACCAAAGGGCTGAAGCCAAACAGGAAAGCAGTGATCAACACTATGTGGAGACAGGAACATGTTTGGGTGTTCTGGAGCCAGCCTCACCAGCTCCTGTGCCAGACTTCTGATCTTCCTTAAAGCTGCTTTCTCTTCTGTCCCTGCAGCCTTCTCCCTGCTGCCCTGAGCCCGAGTCCCAGCAGGACACATAGGGTGAGAGTGGCAGCTTAGAGAATGAATTCATCTGGTTTTTGTTGACATAACAAAATATCTGAGGCTAACTCCTTTTAAAAGAGGTTTGTTTGGCTTACAGTTTTGAAAGCTCAAAGTCCACACAGCATGACACAGACTTTGGTGAGGGTCCCTCTTTGCCTGTATCATAATCATGGAGGAAGTATGCATATAGCGCTCATTTGTGTGGTCTTCTTCATAAGGTCTAAAGGATTCACTCATGCTAATGACTACATCAAATCTAATCACTTTACAGGACTCTACCTCTGAATGCCATTATCAAGTTAAGTTTTCATACTCTTAATACTTTGAACATGAGCCTTGGGATTAAGTCACGCATGAGCCTGGAGGAACAATCAGTATTCAGAGACTAACATAAAAATTCTAGGCAGGAGCTGTGCCATAGATAGGCAAGCTAGTCACTGCCAGAGAAAAGTAGAGGCTAGAAAGGCTGCTAGGGTAAGAATGTAAACAGCCACCCAGAATGTGACTGTCAGTGGCTTCACTGGGGAATGGATTCAAGGTCCTTTGTGCAGAGCAGATAGACTCTCTGATCCATCTACCTCAGCATGGTCTATTGCAGTCTGGAACAGTGTTCTTGGTTTCTGAAGTAGAGTGCTGAGGGTAAGGTCAGTCTTTCAGCCACCTGACTCAGTCTATTATCTCCATCCATAAAAGCATTACTACACATAACAGCTTTTGTGGTGTTTTGAATGAATCATAGAGTTAGATCTATTAAAATGGAGATCAGAGATTGATTTCTTCTGGACGTTAGCTTTCAAAGAGCTGAAAGTGAAAGTCAACAATCTCTACAAACTAAAACTGAATTAAAAAGATTATTTTCAAGGTACTCAGTATAGATTCAAGGATAATGAGGAGCTGAGAATAGAGAAGGCACTCACTCTGGGCTTTATCTTCAGTGTTTGCTAGTGAGAAATCCCTGACCTGGTACAACAGGATTCTGAGGTGAGTGTTCGTTGTTTGCTATGTGTCCAGGTCCTTGAACTGAAATACCCTTGGCAACCTTAGACTGTTGCCCGAATGAGAATGACAGTGTCCTGATTAACTGTCTGGAATTATCCAAGAAGAGAATCCTAATTAAGGAATTTCTGAGGTCAGGCTGGCCTGTGAGCATGTCTGTGAGGAGTTGTCTTGATTATTAATTGATGTAGGGAGACCCAACTCACTGTAGGTGACACCATTCCCTAGGCAAGTGGTCCTAAACTGCATAAGAAAGCTACCTGAGCATAAGCCTACCTTCTGACCACCAAGCCTCACCCTGGTTCCTGTCTCACTTCTTTGGTTGTGAACCAAGTTCCTTGGATAGAGATAATGGTATGTAGAATAGCAATCAGGCCTGCCTTCAAATTCCTGCCCTGACTTCCTCCAGTGATGGACTGTGACTTGGATGTGTAAGCACAATAAACCCTTTCTTCTTCTAGGTTGCTTTTGGTCAGAGTGTTTAATCACAACAACAGAAAGAAAACTAAAACAGACAGCTTGTAGCTTTTAAACACAGTCAACTGGCTCCTCGTTTTCTTCTTCTTTTTCACATTTTTATTTGGCAATCTGGGGAGATCCTAGAAATATATACATATGTATGTATATGTGCATGATGCATACACACATAACATTCCTCTGTGCCTACCTGATTTGGAAGCCACTAAAATGACATTCATCCCTTTTCGTCTAAGGAGTTTGGTTCCTGTAGGTTATTACTAACAGAAAGAAATCATTTGAGAGAAACTGTTCAAATCGTAGGGAATCTCTCCAAGAAATTTCATTACTCTGCACATGATAGTTAATAAGACAAAGATTTTAATAAAATCCTGGTGACAAATCTTTTACTTTGCATATTTAGAGTATTTGTAGTTCCTGGTAGGGAATTTTATTTATGTTTTTTGATATTATCTTATTCTTTTCTACTTATTAAAAGTAATATAGTACTTTAAATATTTATGGAAGTCATTAAAGATGCAGTATGTGACATGGAAAGTTCTACTTGGTTTCCTTCTTTGTTGTTTATTAGCATGTGTTAATTATACATAATAATGGGTTTCATTACAGCATTTTCATACATTATATAATGTATTTTTAGCACTTTGCCCTCCATTTTCCTTTCCCGGTTCCCTCTACTGATCTTCCCACCTTGTACTCTTCTGTTTTCATGCTTTAAAAAAAAAATTTATCTCATTCAGTTTCCTTATAAGATCCTGGGTGAGTGTTTATTTACAGGAGTAGAGGCTGCTTACCTGTGGCCATACCAGCAATGGAAATGCCTCTTCCTCCCCTAGCAACCATTAGCTGCCTGTAGACCAAGTTCTACTCTGAAGCTTTTGTTTGTTTCTGAAACAGTCTCCCTCTGCAGCACAGGCTAGCCTGGGACTGGCAGCAGTCCTCCTACCTCTGCCTTATGAGTACTGGGATTACAGGGTCTACCACTAAACTAACAACATTCAATATCCTCAAGTGTATTTTAATTAAAACTCTTCAAGCACATCTGTTGCATATAAACACACGGAAGTACAGTTCCATCTACAGTGTCTATTACAACATGTAAATATAAAAAAGCCACTTTTCTTTTTTAAAATTATTTTTATTATTTAAAACTATTTTTAAATTTATGTGTATTTTGATTGTATTCTTCCCCTCCCCCAAGTCTGTCCAGATCTCCTCCTCCTTCCTACCACCCAGCTTTAGTTGTGCCACTCCACTGGAGAAAGTTGATTTCTCTTTCCTAGCAGGTGCAGACAACAGTGCTGTTGTTAACCTTCACCCTAGTGCTAGGTTTACGTTCGTTCATTCATTTTTTAAAAATATACAAAATAAAATATAATAAGATAAAACAAAACTATCACATTAAAGTCAGACAAGACAAACCAACATAAGGAAAAGAGCCCAAGAGAGGGCACAAGAAAAAGAGACCCACTTGCTCACACACTCAGGAATTCTATAGAAACACTAAACCAGAAGCCGTAATATAAGCACAGAGGGCCTGGTGCAGACCCATGCAGGCCCTGTGCTTGCTGCTTCAGTCTCTATGAATTCATATGAGATTTGCTCATGCTGATTAAGAGGGCCTTGTTTTTTTGGTGTCCTCCATCCTCTCTGGATCTTACATTCTTTCTGCCTCCTCTTTCTCCTACGGGGTTCCCAACTCTGTGGAGAGAGATTTTAGTTAATAGAACCATTACAAGTTAATTTTCACTAATTTTAGTTACACAAAGACTAAAAAATATCTTTACAAATACTAAGAAAATTTTTACCTTTACCTTTACCAATTTAGTGAGTTTTCTTTTCTTCTTCTTCTTTTTTTTTCTGTTAGTTTTTTGAGACAGGGTTTCCCTGTGTACCCCTGGCTGTCCTAGAACTCACTCTGTAGACCAGGCTGGCCTCAAACTCACAGACATCCACCTGCCTCTGCCTCCTGAGTGCTGGGATTAAAAGTGTGTGCTACCACCACCCAGCTCATAGTGGTTTTTTAATTTAAAAAGTTTTGCGGCCAGTCCTGGTAGCCATGCCTATGATCTCAGTACTGGGAAGGCTTTGGGAGAAGGATTGTTGTATGTCAAGGCCAACCAGGACTACAGAGAGATTTTGTCTCTAAATAAATTAAATAAATAAATAATAATAAAAGTCCACTTTACCTTAGTTTGAGAGGTACCAGGAACCCTGCAATTCAGCTGACCCTCATGGGCACCCTCAATTTTGCCATCAGAACAGCATCTCTTTTATGCAAAACTTGGCTCCTGCTAGTGACCTTTTGGCTTCTTCTTTAAGAGAGGGTACCACTCAATGCCTGGCTCTGCCCAGCTGCTTTGCCCTCTGTACAGTCCTGAGGCCATGGAAGAGGGGTGGGGACAGACTGAGCAGTAAAGTTCTCAGGCTTCCCAGAGTGGTGGGCAGTGATCACCACCAACTGTGCTCATGTCAGATGTCTCTGGTGACAGGTGTGTATTGGGCACAGATGGGTGTGTGACAAGCCAGCACCTCTAACTGGGTCTTCCTGTGGTCAGTTCAGCTCTAGGATGTCAGTTATCAACTGAGAACCTGAGGGCTCTGGTGACATGCTGTCTGAGGCAGAGTTGAACAGAGATCCACATGTCCTTTCCCTGTTGTGTGTTTCAGAGGCTGGAGCACAAGGAAGTGTTGGCCGGCTTGCTGTTCCTCGTGTTCCCGTTCATTCCAGCCAGCAACCTCTTCTTCAGGGTGGGCTTTGTGGTGGCCGAGAGAGTCCTGTACATGCCTAGGTAATTACCTTCATCTATCACAGGAACCCTGAGAGCTCCAGAGAGATAGTCCTTTGTAAGGCAGTGGATCCTTCTGAGCCCTGCTGTCATCTCCAGCGACCAGGCTTGCTCATGTGCCCTGACTCACAGGCTTAGAGGTACAAGCTTCATAGTGAGACAGGAATTATAGTTTCCAATATTAGGGATATACGCAGCAGTTGCTTACCAAACTGCCATTGTCCAAATATGTTTTATAATTATACTTGTGATATTTCTAAATACTTGTTGATTTACCCAATATTACTATATTCAGTTTATTTTTATCCCTCCCCCCCTTTTAATTTAGAAAGTAGGAATTAAACTTAAAAAAATTATCTTTGGAGAAAATGGTTCAGAAATGACAAAAAATATTTAGCTGTGGCTTCCAGGTCGCTTAGCTTTGCACATCTGCCCTTTGTTTTAGCTTGTTGTGTGCTGTCTTATTCGATGTCATTGTCCCAGGGCCACTTTCCTGGAAATGTCACTGAGTCAGGGGACAGTCTTGTTCTGACATTTGCTAGTTATGTGACCTTGAGCAAGGTACGAAGCTTTTTTACATCAAAGGGAGAAATTGGTGATACACATCTACAATCCCGAGTTTGTGGTCATCCTTGACCAGTGTCAGTCCAAGGGCAGCCAGTGCTACACAAGACAAAACAAACTGCCCTGTGCTGTTGTGTCCTGAACAGGGCTTCAGAGTTCCCAGTTACTTTAGGCTCATCTGATTCGGGTGAAAATAAAACTGCACTATAAAGAAAATGTCAGTATTTCCCAGAGCAAATGCCTGCCTTGGGGAGTCAGCCTGGGTTTGCTTATGTCAGACTCAGCCAAGAGTCTTACACCAGTGTCAGTACCTAGCCTTTGTCCCAAAGATGACCATCCTTTCCTCTCGGAGGCCCTGCCTGGGTACCTTGCAGCACTCCTTCCTATCAACGACTGTTGGACCTTGCCCATGCCACCATTGTGCTCAGCATGGCTACTGGCCCTGCAGAGGGATGGTCTCGGCAGATGCCAAGGCCTCTTGATTAGAGGTTTGTTGTCCTCCTGCCCTTGAGCCATGTTCCTGAGACTGATAGAAGGCCGGGGGACTCCAGCCCTCCCTTGAGTTCTTAGTCTTCATAACCGTAAGTGAGTTGAGCTGATGAGGACGTGAGGTGGAGAGATCTGGCAGCTTTAGTGCAGGGACCCAGAACACAGCAGCACCTTCCACGTCCCTGGCCAGAGGTGAGGACTGCCATGAGGGGACTCTGGCTTCTTGCTGTCTTTCTTCTCCTAAACGAGCACTGGAGGTACGAGGGTCCAGATACTTGAATCCTTTCTGATGAACTGCTTTGGGTTTTCACAATGGAGTTAAGTTATATCTAGTTTCCAGTTTCAACCCATCTCCTGAATGATCTTAGGGTCTCAACTCCTTTTTTTTGTTGTTGAGACAGGGTCTGACTATGTAGCACTGGCTGGCCTAGAACTTAGCATGTAGACCAGGATGGCCTTGAACTCAGAAAAATCTGCCTGGTTCTACTTTCCCAAGTACTGGGGATAAAGGCATGTAGCATCATACCCAGAGAGGGTCTCAGCTCTTGAAGACCTGTTACAATCTTAAGAGTCTTTGTAGATGGATTCCAGGGGCTTATTGAGGCCCAGGAAGGGAAAACCATTAACTCCTGGTTAAAAGAATAGAATATACCTCTGGCCCTCAAGGAGACATAACATTCTGATCTGCTCCAAAGATTACATTACACATTATTGTGTCCTCCCTTTAGACATAATACAGCATTAAAAAAAAAAAAAGTTAATGTAGCTGGGCCTGTCAATCACCTCACCAAGATACCACCCCTCAGAAAGAATGTGACACCTAAAGCCATGGTGAGGAGATGGAAGGAATAATTATCCCTTTAATGAGATAAAGTATTAATCCTTCCCTGAAACTGTAGCCCTGTGCAGTCACTCACAAGAACCCTGACATATAGCTCTGCTAAACTTACCTCTTTTTCTGAGTTACTCAGAGAAGTATAACTTCCCCTTTTCCTTTTTTCTATCCTTCTTCCCTTCCCAAAGCCTGCACACACTTTCACCAGTTGAATCTTTGGCTTTTGAAAATGCTAATTTAGAATGCAAAAAGCTAATTGCACCCTTAAAGGTCAGGTCAGCACCTATAGAAGAATGGATCCAACACATAGTCAATATTGAGCACTTTGGGCTTTCTCACTTTGTCTGAAGCCTCCCACATCTTCTACCATATGACTGCTTTCAAATGACATGATTTTCTCTCTCTTTTCTATTTCCCTCCTTCTGGCAACTGCTGAAATTTAAGGTTGTTTACCCCCTTGTTTTCTTCCAAACTCCAATAAAATTGTTCTCAAGTTTCCTTCCAAGTCCTATGGACTAAGGACCCACAAAAGGAAACTCTGTAACTACAAGAAGGGAGGGAAGGAGAAAGGGAAGAAAAAAGAAAGGAGAAGGCAGAGAAGGAAGGAAGGAAGGAAGGAAGGAAGGAAGGAAGGAAGGAAGGAAGGAAGGAAGGAAGGAAGGAAGGAAAGAAACTTAGCTGTCAGTGTTCCTGGAGAAATTGAGCTTCCTACCCAGTATACATCACAGAGAAATCCAGCCAGCCTCCTAGAAACCTGCCTGGGTCCAGCAGCCTGGAGGAACTGATCTGGCTATGTTACTAGAAAAAGCCGGATTGTGCCCGACTCAGAGTGTGCCCTTTCATCTTCTTCCTTTGTGATTAACAATGCATACGCCGTCACTCAAGCCTTCTGGCTTCTGCTCTCCTTCCAGCCTAACCCAGAAAAGGCCCTTATCTTATTTGCTGCCAGAAATCTTTGGATAAAAGAGAGAGAACTTGGCTATTTGCTTGGCTTCTGGGGTCAAAGTTTTACCATCAAAACACATAGAATAGAATAACATTTTCTTGCTCTGATAAATGTCACTTTTGTGCATGTCGTATTTGTGCAGGCAAGGGAGTCTGGGGCTAAAATCATTCTTTCCATGAAAATTTTCTCTTTTATCCTGACTCCAAGAGAAACATATAATTTTATGGCTATCTTTCTTGCATTTTATATAAAAAAAAACCACACACACACACTGGAAGGGGAAAAAACAAAAACAACTAAACTCTGTAGAATTGATGAAGCAAAAATAGTTGATGAAAGCTCTAGGTAATTTAGAGAAAGCAGTTGAGTATTCACCCTCATGCCAATTGAGATCTTTTCACTCTGGGGGCAGAAAATACACCCCCAGCAGCTGCGGGAGAGCCTATATGAGCAGAAAGGGGGACAGACGCCACAGGAGTCAGAGAAGGCAGAAGTTTAGTGGTATGAGTCTGAGTGGAAGAAAAAGATCACACCACACTCTTAGAGAGTATTCAAATGTGCACTTGTGGGAATGGTTTATATCCAAATCAAAATGGGTGTGAGGGAAGATTGCTTATGTGTTTGTTTCTGAGGTATGTAAATACCAATAAGTACATGACCACATGTATCCACATATTACCTGTCTATCTTACATTGTATGACATTTGCACCATAAAACATCATAGATAAACACAGTACTTGAAGCAAATACTACTGTACAAGTGAGCTTGTAGTTTCAAGAATATTTTTCATGAGTGTTTTTTAAATGCTTGGAATTGTCTTGTTCAAGCAGGACTTTGATAAACTGGGTTATTTATAGCTCTAATCACATGCTTTATCCATGTTCCAAGAGTAATACAGCACTCATGAACACAAAAACACTCTGCATGGCAACATGGCTTCTCCCATTTTACTCAGTTCATGAAACATGCTCACATACACTCTTTCATGCAACCGTTTGAAACCAGTTTGCAAGCAATATTAATCTTGTAATACACACAGTTAAGCCTCCAGGAGGTTAAAGGACTCATCTCTGACCACAGAACTGCTGGATTCTCATGACTGTTTCTGATTCTTGAATCTCTCAAGAGTCCCCTTTCCTTCATCCTGAAGCTCCAGACAGTCTGCACCTAGGACTCCTGCACTCCCTCTACTTGCTAATGGCCTGAGATCTTAGGACACTAGTGCAAAGATAACTGTTTTGACCTGGAACGTATACAAATGTTATAGATTTCCTGCCTACCCCTCTGTTCAGCAGAAACTAACTACCTACTCCTAATATTATTACAGCACAAGAATCTTAATGTTATTATTTATTATTTAATGTACAGTGGGCATAGTACAGCCTAAAATAATGTCCTTTTAGAAAGGAAAGAAATTAAGAGCGTGTGAATTTAAATATTTGGCCCCAAATCAACAAGTGTCAGGGTTGAGATACAGACCAAGGATTTTGTCCAACTTCAGAGACTGGCTTTATTCACCAGGAAAGGCCTCATAAATCTTAGTGCTGTTAGGTGAACTATGAAAGAAAAAGGAAGCACTGTATTGCAAAAAGCCCAAGAGAAAACTATGTCTGTTATCAAAGTGGGAACCGATGACAGTTGCCCTGGTTGTCCTGAAGACACACTGGAAAATGACACAGCAGTCTTTCATAGAGACTCACACATGAAGAGACTGTCCATCCCAGCCCAGGAGCACAGCACCTCATGCGGGGACTGGGGAACTGACCAGCAGTTCCACTGGGATGTTTTTCTTACCAAACAAACTCTCACCTCCAAATACATTCAGTCCTCTGGAGAATTTCCCATCAAGTCTTTGAGATGGAGAAGAAACAAGGCAGAAGTGGAGGATGCTCTTAAGTATTGGCTCACAGCAGCCTGCAGCTTCTGAATAGTCGCCACTGGCTTGGGGCACAAGCGCCACCAGCTCTCAGCTGAGTGTCCCAGGCTTTACTTCTGAACCATCTGGGGATAACACCCAGAAAACTGGAATAAAAGCTTACTGTGAGATAACTTGTGAGAAGAAGCCTCAGCAGAGCAAAATGAAGTCAAAGGACACATTCCTTCAGACCCTTGAGAGAGAGTGCTTAAAAGTGATCCAACTATCCTCATTCTCGCTAATTGGACTCCC